ATTTTTTAATTTTTTTTTATCTCTTGGCATTTTATCATCTTACTCCAAGAAATCCTAGGTGGGGATCATACCACCAACGTAGTCATCAGAGAGCAGTGAGTCTGCTCCATACCAATAAGGAATTATTCTAATAACTTTTTAAAAGGGTTGGAGAAACCCTTTAAACTGCCACTGTCCAGATTGGCTTTGTTGAGTCTGGGTGTTATAATTAATTAGAGCATCTTAAACCCCTATTGGACGGGGTACCGTAATTGTCTTAATCACTATGTCCTCCTTTCCATATCCCCATTCCAGCACCATGGACAAAACAAACAGGGTTATTCACTAAAGTGAGAATTGCTGGTAATTCAGAGTGGATTTCAACATTTAAGCCAAAGTAGCTGAACTAGAATCATAGCCGACTTTGAGAATTTTCCCAGTTCAAATGTTTTAACTTTTAAGGGGACACTCCAGACACTTAATGCACTTCAGCTTGCTGAGGTTCTTTATGTGTGAAGAACGTGTCCTCTTTTTTGTCTACAAAACTGAAAATATTTTAATAGAAACTGGAACATTTAGACACCCCTGGCTCTCAATCAGACAACTGGTCCTGTTACTTCCTGGTTTCATTATCTCAGTGGAGGCAGTAATTGCGACTGCCAAATTGCAAAATCTTGTGATTGAGCCACATTGGGAAGTCTGTGCTTAGACAACTATAGAAAGTATTGGGAATCGGGTTAAAGGGGAGGGCTTCCAAAGGCTTCAGACAAGAGATCTGCAGCTTTTGCTAGCTGTTTTTAGATATCCCTCTAATACAAAAAATGTATAATGAAAAGGGAGTGTATCTGCTAAATGTTGTTTTTATTTATATTTGGGTAGCAGAATGTCCCTTTAAATTTGAAATTCATTTTAAATTTGCAACGATTCTGACTTTAGTAAATAACCCTGTTTGTATTTAGTATTAACCTACCCTGAACACATGAGTCACAACCTGAATCCAACACCACAACTCTAAACTGAGCTCTAAAAGCCCCCGCACAATATGGAGGCTCTATGAGATACTAAATAAAATAAAATATTCAGATTACACGGACACAATAATATAACCCCCTCCCACATACACACATCATATGGATCAATGACATACATGTAAATACACAGAAATATATTCAATACGTTGTTAAAAAATATATTACTAGTAGGTTTGTTATTCATCATCTAATTTGACACGATTTTGTAATTTGTCAGCAATATTAAATTAATTGTACTGTGAGTGGTTGGTTCACTCAATTATAACACAGGACTCTAGTTGCAAATGTAATCAGAATGACTGGAGAGGTGTGGATTCATAATTATTGTACAATATTCACAGAAAACAAAAGACAAAAAAAATCAGGATTGTAGGAGAACTGTAAGCTCTGGGATAGACATGGTGTTAGCACACGTTACCTACTTAAACATAATTATTGGTGAAAATGTTTACTCAACAAGGTAAGTGGTAAGAACGAGCATTAAGGCAGGCATATCAGACTCTGCCCCCCCAACCCCCTAAATATTGATGAACTACAACACCCATGATTCCATGGCTATCAATTCCATTAAAAAAATAAGGTAATTGTAGATCCCTGCCTTAGAAGGACATTTCAAATAGGACATTTTTGAAATGCTCTTTGCACAGATACTGTATAAGGAAAGCCCCAGACCTTGAGTACTTTTTACTAGTGTCTTAGGATTGCAGCAATTAATAAAACTATTTTGGACTGCTATACCTTTTATGTTTTCCATTAACTTCAATTGCTGCTTTTGTATTGAGCTACATATGTCATAAACCTCGAGGAGCAAGGATTTATAGGATATGCTCAGCACTTCCATTAAAATAATGGTAAGAATAGGATTGGCTGACAGGTTTATATTTGTTTCCAGTTCTGCGCTGTCTGACTTTACTTTGTTGCAAAAGCGATGGTAGGAGCCCCACTCAATTCCAGAAGCCACCCGGTGCTCCAGAGCAGGACCAGCAATCCCACAACAACAAGGCAATGAAAGAAATTCTCCGGACACTCCAGGTCTGACTTTACTTAGCCAGAGACCTTTGACATTTGCAGCAAATGCATGACAGGTGCATTGTCGCCATATGGGCTGGAGGAGCGGACCATTACCTTTTTCCCAACCCACACCAATGAAACACTGACACTTTAGGGTATAGGTCAATATGTCCACAGCTTTCATTTATAATATATAATAATAATAATAACGATAATATATAAATAACATAAAAGTCATTGCCCACCCCCACATCCTCAGCATCCATCATTATCACTTTTCCACATATCAATTCGCAAGGCAATGACCCATCATATATAACATAACATTGTATAACAATCCATAAGTATAACAAAACAAGATCCAACATTTTCCACACGATCCTGGCAGGGGTATACCTTGATACCCCTACACCACCTGGGTTCTGAGCTACCAACAAGCTCGAAACCACCAACATCTTACCAACAGGTAAACAGTCCATATTGAAACAGCCAACTCACTACTCTTGCTCTACGCTTCTTTAAGCAGGCCCGTTACCCCCTTAACTTTCCTTCCACTAGTCCGCCACAAGCTCAGACCTTGACCCCTTAAGCCGTCTGAGCTCCGCCACCCAGAAGAAATAGAGTCTTGGCCAGACCCTCCTGCAGCCCCAAATTAAATAAATCGATCCCCACCTACGAGAGGTGCACCCCATCATCTCTGAAGTACCCTGGTAGCATGTCCTCTAGCTTCCTTACAAAACTGGCCATCAACCCATTAACCTTCCCTCGGCAGCGCCCTATAGCTGCTGAAACCCGTGCATGCTGCCAACGGAGCCAGGGAACTATCTCGGACCATAGCAACTGAACACCCAGGACCCAGGCCCTGATCCTGTTCACATCCTACTTCATCCTTTTTACTAAGAGCAGTTGCGGGATAAGCCCAAGATCATTACCGCCTGCATGCAGCACGAGCACATCTGGCCGCCTAACCCTCGTTACCATACTAAGGACCTCGCTACACACTTCCTGCCAACCATAACCCCTGTAACCAAACCATTGTAACTTAATCTGGTCCTCAGGGAAGTCCAGCTGCTGACCCCGAAAATGAATTGCAGCTCTCCTCTTGGCCCAGAATATAAAGAAATGGCCCACAATCCAAGCCACTCGACCTAGGGAAGAAAAAAATAATGTCAGCCAGGGACCCCACAAGGCCAATCCCCACAGCAACTGTTCACACCATCTTATCCAACCGAACGTAGGACCGGAACCTCACCGATTCCCACCGCCAAATTTTCTTGACCATTTCATCGCCCAAGCCTAGCCGAGTTGCCTCGGTGGCTGCCCCTATGCGAATCGAGTGCGTCCCGAACTGATTCGGCCGCACCCCCAAATCCTGAAGTCCTCGTCTAAAGACCTTGAGAAACTGAAAACGGTAAAATGAGGTACCGTCCTCGTGCATCAGAAAGGACCTTCGTCCCAGGTATCGAGCCACACTAGCCACCGGGCATAAGGGTGACCCGGGAAAGTTATGCAGTACCACATCTGTCCCCCGACCTCTAGCATCCGTTTTTGACCAGCAGAGATGTACCACCCCCTTGTCCGCTGAAACCTAACCTCAGAGAGCTGGACCCCCCACCCCCAGCCCGATTTGGGCCAACTAGCTCCTCGATACGAAATGCCCTGAAGAAGGCCAAGAGGAACACCACTTAAAACAAGCCCACCTCATACCCGTTGTAGCAAAGCCCCGGCAGGCTGCGCACCAGTCCCCCGAGTATGTCGAGCGAGACTGGCCTCCTTGAGTCAGGGACCTTGCGCCCCCTCCGAAAACCCTTCAGGGCTTAACAGATGACAAAGTGCTTTGTGTGGTCCTCCCACCCCCGAAGCTTAAACCAGAACGCGATCGCTGACATCTGTCGATCCACCACCGCTGGGAACAGGCCTTTTGCCAATAGCAGGAAAACATACCATAGCAGCGCATCCAGCCCGGAACCTCGGACCAACGCCAGGTCCAATTGTCTCAGACCTTACTATAAGCTGTCCATGTACTGGGGGCCACTGACGACCTCACGAATCTTCCAAGCATGCCGTCCCTAGCTGCCACATCTCCCCAGGGCATTCCTGACCCTCCATCTGGAATCGGGACCACTGCAAATGAGACAGTGCATCAGCCACAACATTCAAATACCCTGGGACATGCCGCGCGCAGAATACTAAGTTGAGCGACATGCACAGTAACACAAAGCGGCGCAAGAGGCGTACAGCCGGGCCCGAAGCGGCTGAGAGGTTATTAACCGCGTGCACTATGGACATGTTGTCCTAGTAAAACACCACCTTCTGAACCCGGAGGAGATCTCCCCAGAGTGATAGTGCCACTAACAGAGGGAAAAGCTTGAGAAAGGCCAAGTTCCGCATGAGTGGGCTACCCACCCATGTTACTGGCCAAGCCTCTGTGCACCACCTCCCCTTGAAATAAGCCCCGAAGCCTACGCTGCCCGAGGCGTCCGTGTACAGTTCCAAGTCAGCTGCCACCACCGCCGGTGTGCGAAAGAACACCGTCCCATTAAAGTGCTCCAAAAAGGTGCCCCACACCTCAAGGTCAGCCTGCAGCGGCTTGGATACCCTTATGAAATGAGAGAGGCTGCGACTGAAAATCCGCCCCAGTGGGATGACCCTACACACGAAGTTGAGCTTACCTATCAGCGACTATAGCTGCTTCAGCGTAACCTTGCGAGCCTGGCGGACGACCGCCACTGCCCCTCGCAGCCCCAGCATTTTGTCCTGGGGCAAGCGACATTCCCCCGCAGAGAGTCAATTTCCAGTCCCAGGAAGCAGAGTGGGGCCTTCAGTCTTCCCTGTGAAAGGGTTAATGTTGTAATGGACTCTAATCCCCTCGGTTCTCGATCCCTCGGTCACCATAATCAACGTTGATGGAGAATCATTTGTAAGCAATAACACACGGACAACAGCTTTACAAGACTCTCAAATGAGTGTATTCCAGAGCTGGCTTTTATACATAGTTTGCTTACATTAGCCATGGTATATGCAAATACAGTACAGACTATAAGATTTATTACTTCCTTATATTACGTTATTCTGACAATGGAAAGATAAGCTTTTGCATACGTCTGGAAAAGAATATCCTTAAAATCGGAATGGGCAAGACATCCTGAAATTTTAGCATTGTCTTACATCCTATAGAAGAAATACCTTAGTCTGTCACAGTCAGCATATTGACTTTAAGTATTCAATATCCCTTCAGTCAGCAATAATCATGTTATAAACCTTATAAAAGCATAAAATACATATAAACAAGTTAACTATTTAATATTCTTACATTCCCCTCTTTGAGCAATAAAACAATTGCTCATCTTATCGATAAAATCTTACCAGGACAGAGAAACTTCCACATGGTATTTTCAGGGGTGCTAGTCACTCCCTGCGGGACTTTCATTAATTTCTTCACCTCGATTCCCATGTGGTAATTCCTAAGGCCCAGTTTAAAGATGGGTTGATACTCTACAGTGGCAGAGAGGAGAATTTCTAATTGTTTCTGTTCTGCATTATGGATTCATTTCTGTACTCTCTTCCTCAATGTACAAGTAAGGTGACAGTTATATAAAATCATACACAATAAAATCAGGACTATAATAACAAAATGATAGAAGAATGATTTCATTATCTGAGATCCAGTAGGGGACCAACCAGTGAAGCATCGTACCAATGATGGGCTAAATCATTCTGAATTTGTGAACTCACCTTAAGGAGTTCTCCTTTTAGGATATGTGTGGCTACCTGTGTGTGTTATCTTTGGGGAAAATATAGTCCCCTGTGTATGTGGGTGCCCACCAGGTTAAATTCTTGGCAAAAAGATCATAAACTGGTACTGGTAATGTGTTAAATTGACAAGCTAATTTAACATCCTTTGATGATGTATGATATAATGTAAAATAGCATGAGCATGAAAAAATGTGAAACATTACCAGTTAACCATCCATTGCATTTAGTGGATTGGGGTTTTAGAAGTAACCATTCATTATCTGTGAGGTTACGCTTTCCTCTAATCTTCTCTAGTTGAGGAATCATTAGTGCGTTTTCTAATGCCAATCCTTGTTGTTGTATCCATAAATACCTGATGGCACAAGTACTCCAGTTACTTAGACCTCTAGTGAATTTCATAGTTGCAACAGTTAAATTATCTAAATAATTATACATTGATTTATCTAAATCCAATCCTATAACCTGTGATTTAACAACAATTGGAGCCCAATTTGCAGTAGCATGAAAACCAGTCCCTATATGCATGCTGGCTGTGTTTAACTTATTCTTGAGGGTCTCCATATCTATAACTATTTAGTATACCCATAGTGGTTCCAGCACCTCCTAACAGTGTGTCATACCATTCCCTTTTCTGCCTTTGTTTGTTGTATTACATAATGTTACAACAGGAGTAGTGATTTTTAATGACACATGTACAGCTTGTAAGAAGGCAGTTGTATTAATACATGTGGACGAAATAGGTGTGTGTGTGTGTCGTGTTTGACTTTTGGTTCTATGATAGTGGATAAAGGACAGTAATAAGGTGTAAAAATATAAGGTAGTGTATAGTTCTCAATTGTAGTGTCGTTCATAATGACTAACATTTGTCCCCTTCTCCAATTAATGATACCAGTTATATAATCATTATTAAAAGTAATAAGGCCTGTCTGTTTACATTGATATGCAACCTTAACTGTGCACATTTCTGCGTTATAAGATCTAACAATTTTCTGTGAACCTTTAAACAAACATAATGCATCGGTTTCATTAGCTGTAGACACATTTCATATGGGTAACTGGTACTTATAAGGGTTACTATTTGTCCAATTCATCCAAATGCGTTCAGTGAATGAATGATTGCATATTGCATGCTGATAGAAAGGTGGTGGAGAAAGGTTCTTGAGGGGGTGTGTGTGACGAATGCTAGATGAGGAGCTAAGGCCTAATTGGGCTGGGGGTATTGAAGAATTGTTCATCATGTCAGAGTCTTTTTCCAGAACTTGCCATTGACTTGTACTCATAATGGCATTCAAGGAACAATATCAGAGGGAGTATAACAACTCCAGAAAGCATAGCACACAACATAATCTTGGTCTCAGGTACGTATGATCCTCTCAATCTACGATATGGTGTAAAAACCATGATGCTTCGCTGAGGAGAAATTCTTCTGTTTCCGAGCGAGGAGTGGTGTTGTCTTCCTTGGTTCCCCTCTTTGGACACAGCTTCACTCGGGATGCGTGAATCCAGATGTCATGGGAATCTGTGAGGACAGCGGTTCTGGGTACAGCAATCACAGTAGCAGGTGGTCCAAAAGGGTATCCTCCTTTCTTGGTCCTGTTCAACTGACGGATATACACCTTGTCACCGGGCTGGTATGAATGAGTAGGTTCCTGTGAAGGTAAGGGAAAACTGCGAAGAAACATTGTCATACATACCATTCGGTTTTATCAACAATTCATCTTGTGGGGATATATTCTTATCTCAGCTAAAATAGCTGGTAGATATCTAGTCCAATTTACCCATGTTCCTGGGTAAATTCTGGGCTTTTCCTTAATAGTCCTATTCATCCTTTCAACTACCCCTGTATTCTGTGGATGATAGGGTATATGAAACTGCCAGGTAACTTGCAAGAATTTAGCAAGTTCCTGGGCAACCCTACTTGCAAAAACCGGGCCATTATCAGAGCCAATCTGCAGAGGGCAGCCATACCTGGGAATAATTTCAGTAACAATAAACTTCACTAGCATCTTCCCTAGATGTCACAAAGGCCTCATGCCATCTACTAAACTGATCAACTATGACCAGTAAGTATTGCTGTTTCTTACCAATTTTGGATACATGAATAAAATCAATCTGTAAGTGTGTAAAAAGAGCAGCGTTCACACGATCTTACAAAAGACTGTACATGCTGCCTGAGATTCCTAATATAAAATGAATTCATGAGGAATTGAATGGTGCTTGCTATGTGCCTGACTGATGAAAATAAATCAGCTTGCTTCAAGTATGCCTATTCTTCAAGTATGCCTATTCTCCCCTCTTTAGAGAACAGATCATTCTGATCTTTCTCTAAACCTTGTTTAATCCAAAAGACAGATTCTGGGTATTAAAAAAAAAAAAATCTCATAACCACTGAAGCGCTGGGCTGTCATGTGTTGTGTGGTGAGATTTGTCAGCTGAGTGACCTGGTGACTGGCATGAAGTATTGTAGGATGCCCTAGTGTGATAGTAGTAGCAGTTTCAACAGCCATTGCACATGCTATCAATGCTCTGAGACACGCCGGCATACCCTGTACCGGAGCTCGAACTACTTTGGAAAAGAATGCTATGGGACGCATACCGCCTCCTTGCTCTTGTGCACAGACTGCGGCCATGGTTTTACAATTGTCCCAAGCATACAAATGAAATGGTTTACAATACACAGGTAGTCCTAAAGCCTGGGCTTGCACAATAACAACTGTAAGGGCAATATATGCAGCTAGCATGTCTGGTGACCAGCAGACATTTTCAGGGCTGTCAGAACGTACAGCCTCCCTTAGGATTGAGTCATAATGGGAGCATTCAGGGATCCATTGGCGGCAGTAATTAATCATGCCGAGGAAGGTGAGCAACTCCTTCCGAGTAGTGGGTGTAGGAATCCTCTGAATGACCTCAATACGTTTTGGACTCAATTGTCTGGTGCCTAAAGCCAGAACAAAACCTAAGTATTCAACCTTTGATTTACACAATTGCATTTTGTGTTTAACAACCTTGTGACCTATAGTTGCTGACAGTATCCACAGTGCTTGCCTCAGAGCTAGGGCTACATAACAACAAATCATCAACATTTTGCAAAAAGGACAGAACCATGACCGGTGGTCCATGTTTTTTAGAGTATGTTGGAGTACCAACGAATAAACAGCTGGGGAATCCACATAGCCTTGGGTAAGCGTGTCCAGGTAAACTGACAGCCTTCAAAAAGTAAAAACCATAAGTAGCTGTGTCTCTTGATCAATAGGTATAGAAAAAATGCATTACTTAAATCAATGACAGTGAAGCAAGTGGCATCATGTGGAATGGCTGTAATGAGGGATGTCATATCAGGGACAATGGGTGAAATGGGCACAATTAAACTATTCAGGGCTCTAAAGTCCTGAACTAAGCGATATGCTGGCCAGTGGTGTTGGGAGTGGGTCTGGTGTTGTTCTTGCCTACAGGGCATATTTTGAGAAAGGTGGGGTTGTTGGGGTGTGTGGGGTTTCCTGGGGTGTGGACACTCATTCCTCCAGTGGCCATATTGTCCACAGTTGAAACAAGTGTTCCTGTCTATTCCTCCTTGGAAACACAGATAGACACAATATAAAAGCAATCTTAAACTAACACCTTTCCTATCTACTGGATACAGTCTTACTGAACCAAAGGGGGGTCATAGACAATCAGCGTCAAATAAGACACAAAAAGGCTACTCACCGCAAATGGTTTTGCTGATCCAACTTCTATCCCACTTCTAGACACCAAGCTGAAAGGGTTAATGTTGTAATGGACTCTAATCCCCTCGGTTCTCGATCCCTCGGTCACCATAATCAACGTTGATGGAGAATCATTTGTAAGCAATAACACACGGACAACAGCTTTACAAGACTCTCAAATGAGTGTATTCCAGAGCTGGCTTTTATACATAGTTTGCTTACATTAGCCATGGTATATGCAAATACAGTACAGACTATAAGATTTATTACTTCCTTATATTACGTTATTCTGACAATGGAAAGATAAGCTTTTGCATACGTCTGGAAAAGAATATCCTTAAAATCGGAATGGGCAAGACATCCTGAAATTTTAGCATTGTCTTACATCCTATAGAAGAAATACCTTAGTCTGTCACAGTCAGCATATTGACTTTAAGTATTCAATATCCCTTCAGTCAGCAATAATCATGTTATAAACCTTATAAAAGCATAAAATACATATAAACAAGTTAACTATTTAATATTCTTACACCCTGCCGCCAGCGGTACCCCAAACACATCCGCCACCCATTCAACCGTCCGCAGCAGGTCCCGGAACAGCCCTGCCATGCGCCCCAACTGAACCTCTTTAGAAAGTTTCTCCCAGACCACCCCTGAGAATTCCCCTACCGACTTCATGTTACAAAAACTCAAAGCAAGCTCCCTGTCCCGCAACGGGATAACGAACTCCTCTGTGAAACCCCCCCGCGATAGTTCCGCGTCTCCTCTATTACCGTAACGGCTTAGCCACGGTAACATCGCGTCTATTCTCACCGGTGTTTTGCCCCAAGGCAGCAGGCGCCCCCCCAGGCCCCGCGGTTCCTCCAGCCCCACTGCCTTTCCCTTTTCGGAAACATCGGTGTAGGCCATGTGCCCCCCGCACCCGGAACACTCGTGCTTGTATTTGCAGGCCGAGCCCCACTTGCATTGCCCCTCGTTGAACAGCCAGCAAACCCTTTTTTATGAGAGGACGAAACGGGGGACTGTCCCACTGCGCCGGCCGTTTGCTGAAAGGGAGACGCCCTTTGTGCCATCATAAGCTTTATCCAGAGAGGGAGATCCATCTGGTCCCACCTCATACCTGGATTAGCTGCCAGCCGTTGGCAGAACTGTTCGTTATTCTTCCACCACGCCATCCCTCCGTACGTACGGTAGGCCTCCCAGATCCCATCGAGGTAGCAAAATAAGTAGGAGCAAGTCCCCGGCGAATTCTCGCCAATCACGCTGGCTAGGATACAGAACGCCCGCAGCCAGTTTCCGAATGACTTGGGTATCTTGCGATACCTCTTACGCTTCTCATCCTCCTCCTTTTTTGCGTCCTTCTTCTCCTCCTCCTTGAGGTCAATGTAGTCCTCCAAGGGGAGGAGCGTGAAAACCTCTACAAACTCACCCTTCCAAATCCTGTCTTTCATGTCTGCTTGAGGTCTACCCCCAGTGGGCCCACAAACGAAATATACGAGTTCTGCCGTGCCTCGTCTGGCACGCCCCCCACCAATTCCGCCCTCTCATTCGCCAATGCCGCCGCCGATTCCCCCACCGTGACACAGTGTGAGGTGTGCGCAACCCCGTCTGCGGCCCCTGCCGCCGGAGCCCATACCCGCCCAGCATCTGACGGCTGTGTACCCCTTTTATCCCACGTGTCAATTAGCTGTTGGATAAAGTGTAACAATGCAAGTGAAGAGGAAGAAGAGTTCAACTCACCGCCCAAGCCCCTCGTAGGCAACGGCCTAGGGGCTGCTCCTTGGGCTTCCACCGGGTCACACTGCACCGACACTTCCTCTCTCCCGCCAACCTGGGGGTCCACCCGTTGCCTGGAATAGCCGGAACATGATCCACTGTCAGACCTGGAACAAGAAGAAGAAAGCCTGGGCCAGTTGTGCTGTTCCGTGTTAGCCTTCCCTGGGTATGCTGCGGCCTCCTCCTGGCGTCTTGCCCCCGATCCTGGCCCTGCTGGCCGTCAGGAGCCCCGGAGGCCCCACTGGCCTTACCCCTGGGACTCCTGCTCTGCTCCCATCTGCGCATGGGTCCCCCGAGGAACCGCTGGCATCAGGAGCCGCCCGTGCGGCAATACCAACACCTCTAGGGGGACATGACTCTGCCTCGATGCGACCTGCCCAGCACCATTATCCGGACCTGAACTGCGCCTGCGGCCTGCGCCAGGGGATCTGCGACTCTGCAACCTGCCCTGCACCTTGCGCAAGTCCGCTGGGTACTGATGCCCCTCGTCCCTGGGGCTCCTGACCGAAGCGCGACCCTTCTGTCCTGCCTGCCTGCGACTCCTCCTACTTGCGGGCCCTGCGCCCTCCAAAGTGCGGTCTGCCAGACCCACATGACTGCGCCATCTCTGATCTTGCCACGCCCCCCAGAGCCCTGGGGGTACTTCCCTGGTCCCTGCATGCACTCCTAACCTCGACCCCCCCGTGGGAAGGCCCAGCTGCACCCACAAGGCCCTGTGGCCCCAACAGGCCCTGTGCTGGCAATTGAGTATGCATATAGCCGTCCCCAGCAGCACCCTGCGCTCCTACCGAGACCCCTGCATTGCACCCGACCCGGTCCCAGCACCCCCCGCATCCACGGGACCCAGGCTCAAATGTTGCGACGGTCTCCTCCGCCGTCCCAGACGCCGGATCCCCGCAGCCATCTTGACCCGCCGCCTCCAGCACTGCACCGAGTTGCTCAAGCAGCCAGTCCATCCCTCTGTCCCTGGCAGCATCCTGGATCCCAGCCATCAGCTCCTCCAGCGTCTGCTCAGCCATCTGAAAAAGAAAAAACAAACTTACCAGGCCCAGATACAAAAGCACCAATTCAGCCTGGTAAGTCAATTAGTAATGAGGTGTTATAAAATGGCCCCTGACGAAGGTGCACTCTCTAAGCACCGAAACGCGCGTTGGGTGTTTTGCCAATTTTTACACTGGGCACTGAATGGCACCCTAGCACTATGAATTGCACTTAACACTTTTCTCTTTTTTTCATATTCCTATACCTGTCTAGTTAGTTTACCAGGGAGAAAGGCTTTATAATTTAAATATACATGGCAGTTTATTTTTGGACTGACCATTTGTTTCTACAAACTCTCTTCTCTATTCTATATTCAATCTTTCTACATATTGGACTACTCTAGACTTTTATTTCCTGTATATAGGTAAGGTCTGCTGCTTTGTAAGATCTTTTTCCATATATGGCTTGATTTAATACTCATTTTTTTGCGTTTGTATACGCTAGCAGCAGACATTTACTCCATGGTTTTTTACAAAATATATATATGGATACAGGATATTTGTGGGTTCTTTGCACTCAGGAAGACAGATATTGGCAACTAGACAGATAAATGAATACCTTTACCTATTTAGCATATGTACTTTATTAAAGCTGTCATATAGGAGCTAAGGTTCTTTACCAATTTATATGATATATTGCCAGTTCTTTGCTGTGACCTATGTGCATTCCCTTTAGTGAGTATAGGAATACTAGTATGGACTTTACATTCATTCTATATACTTTTTACTAGATTGTTTCTATTGTATATATTCCCTAGTTTATATTTTTTCACTCTACATTGCTATATAGTATTTCCAGATAATGTAGTCAGACTGGGATTTGTTAAGACATCCTAAGCCTGCCTGCATTTTTTCTATCCTTTTGCGACATTTATATCAGCCTACCCAGAATCCTGATCTGTCAATCACCAACCCCTGCTCCACCTAAGCCTGCCTCCAAGCCCTGTCAAGGACCCCTCTGCTAAGCTGCGCTTTCTTTTTGGGGCTACATAAAAACTGCTAATATTTGTTAGTCTTTTTGTTGTGTAGATTTTAATGTGCTTGGAAAGAGAATACAAATTTTAGGCCAAAACAACAAAAAAGCAAAATTCAGCTATGTTTTCAAATCGGCTATATTATACTAAAATGTGAAATTCACCTTGTAAGTGGTGAAACTCCGCTAATTCAGTATAACATTTGTAATTCCTTGATAATTCATTGCAATTCTTCAATTCAGGAATATAGGGAATAAGTGTACTGAAGCAGCAAAACACATTCAAAATAGAAAATAGCCGTTTGGGAAATGGTGACACATGAATATAAAAGTGTGCGGCTGAAATAAATCTCATCAAAGACTAAAAAAAAATGTAAACAATTTACAGAGGATTGTTGACCTTTATCCAAACAAAGGGCCTCTAATGGATAGGGAGTGAGCAATTTGATGATGTGATTGGCACAACCTTGTGAACCAGTGGCCGGGGACAATCCCTAGGTCCAGGAAAAGAGACCTTTTCATTCTTATGTAGATGCCAAACTGGATAGGACTTGTAGGCAGCTCCTTGCAGACAGATGCATAAGTCATTGCATGTCCTGTCCTGTCCTTTCAGCTTCTCTCCAATCAAACTGGATATTTGCCTTTCCTCTCAGGTTACTTCCATTTGATTCTTGCATATTATTCTTCTTTAACCCCTGTTTTACTAGAGCAGCTAGTGTTCTGGAACACAAGAATAACAAAAAAAAAAAGCTGTAAACACGGACAACTGGAGTGGTGATCTACAAATGGACGTGCTCACTTCTAGCACACTGAACAGTTAATTCACTAAACAATGAATTAAAATAACAAATTTAGAAATGTGGGTTTTGTTTCACTAAAATCTACTGTATAGTGAATAAATCCTTAAGAATTTCCTAAACAAGAAAACGTTTTTTTGTCGTCTGAATCCCAATCATAATTTAAATTATAGGCGTCTTGAATATTCTCTGCTCCATCCAGTAGATCAATTTTGGTCCTTAAATCATGTTTCAGTGTTTGCAGATGTCACAAAACTCTGTAAATTGATATAATGTGAGCAGGATATTGCTTTGCTACAGAGGGATTTAGATAGATTGAGGGGCCACTCAAATGGCAGATGAAATGTAAAGTAGAAAAATGCAAAGTTATGCACTTCATTGCAAATCATGCACAAGCAACTTACACTCTAAATGGTAGTGAATTAGGGATAACACACGAGAAGGCTTTGGGAATGGTAATAGACAACAAACTGGGCAACAATGTGCACTGCCAATCGGCAGTTGCTAGGCCAGTAAGGTATTGTCATATATAAAAAGTGGCATTAGTTATTGGGATGAGAATATAATCTTCTGGTAAGACCATGCCATGAATATTCTGTGTAGTTTTTGGCACCTGTTTTAAAGAGAAATATTATGACCCTACAAAAAGTGCAGAGGTGGGCTACAACAATTAATAAAAGAAATTGAATATTTTAGTTATGAAGATAGGTTAACAATTTTAAATCTGTTTAGTTTATAAAAATGGCACCTCATAGGAGATATGATAGCATTATACAAATAGATTTGAGGCCAATACAAACTGTTGTCTGGAAATCTATTCATAAACTTGACTATACATAGGACATGTGGTCACGCATTTAGACTGGAAGAAAGGAGATTTAGTCTAAGGTAAAGGAAACCAACCATTAAAGAATAATTTACAATGAGCGTCTCTTATTATGTGGATTAACATTGAGCCGAAACCTAAATCCTTAAAATTACTTACAATACAAACTAGTTACATAGTTGCATAGCTGAAAAGATGAGTCTATAAATTTCAGCCTCTCTCTGTTTTAGCTGTTGATCCAAAAGTAGGCAAAAAAAACAGTTTGAAGTATGCAACATACTCTGAGAAATGTCCTTGTTGACCCCAGAATGGCAGTCAGATATCTCCTTGGATCAAGAAGCTATTACCCCACAAATTACAAATGCTATCAATGAAAAGGTCTAAGAGTCTAAGGCAAAGGAAAGGGTTTTTTTTACCATAAGAACAATAAGGATATGGAATTCTCTGCCTGAAGAGGTGGTACTATCACAGTCTGTACAGATGTTTAAACAGCAACTGAATGAATACTTGCAAAAACATAATATTGCATAGTTACATAGACTGAAAAGAGACATGTGTCCATCAAGTTCAGCCTTCCTCATATTTGTATTTTGCTGTTGATCCAAGAGAAGGTGTAACATACCCAGTTTGAAGCACTTCCAATTTTGCAACAAACTAGTAAAACAAAATTCCCTCTTGACCCCAGAATGGCAGTCAGATTAATCCTTGGATCAAGAAGCATTTACCCTACATTGAAAAATTATATCCTTGAATATTCCGTTTTTGCAAATATGCATCTAGTTGCAGTTTAAACATCTGTACAGACTCTGATAGAACCACTTCTTCAGGCAGAGAATTCCATATCCTTATTGTTCTTATGGTAAAAAAAACACTTTCCTTTGCCTTAGACTCTTAGACCTTTTCATTTGTAATTTGTGGGGTAATAGCTTCTTGATCCAAGGAGATATCTGACTGCCATTCTGGGGTTAACAAGGAAATTTGTCAGAGTATGTTGCATACTTCAAACTGTTTTTTTTTTGCCTACTTTTGGATCAACAGCTAAAACAGAGAGAGGCTGAAATGTATAGACTCGTGTCTCTTTTCAGCTAGGCAACTATGTAACTATTTTAAGGATTTAGGTTTCGGCTCAATGTTAATCCACATAATAAGAGACGCTCATTGTAAGTTATTCTTTAATGGTTGGTTTCACAAATTCATGTAAAATAAATGTGATGCAGACATGCGGATTGTATTCACTAAACTCCAATAATTTGACTTTTGAAGCAAATTTGATTTAACCCCTTTAAGACAACCGCTAATGCAATGCAAGCTCCATGTCACATCATGTGTAGCGTAGAGATGTCAAAGATGTTGCTACGAGTCAGTTGTAGCCTGCCTGGATTCTCAGTCAAATAGTTTAAATAGCTTTGAACCAACCTTAAAGCGGCACTGCCATGCCGAACTTACCTTTCCTCAATATCTTCCTCTTCTCCCCCTCTGTCAGGATCTGTTCTTCTTTTCTTCCTGTCTTCTTTAGTTTTCTTTAAAATCATAAGAAAAAGTAGGGACTCTTTGCCTTATGGAGGTTTCCTACGCTTGACCAGCTCTGACCAGCGGAGGAGCAAAGTGTGCTTCATTTCCGCTGGTCAGAGCAATTTTCCCACAATTCTCACCTTTCCTCTGGGCAGCGGGTGGGGGCCCTAAGTCATGGACATACCCCACTTGCAATACCTTGGGTTCCCTACTTTTGCAAATGGTATGCCATCATGGGGATAATTCTCATCCCTGGGTCTCAAAGGCAACATTACCAAACTGGCAAATTTCAATGTGAAAAAAATGAAAGGCAAGCCTTATATTTGACTCTCTAACTTTCCAAAACACCATAAAACCTGTACATGAGGGGTGCTGTTATACTTGGGAGACTTCATTGAACACAAACATTAAAACAGTAAAATGTATTACAACAATATCGTCAGTAAAAGTGTTGTTTATGTGTGAAAAATGCAAAAAACGTCACTTTTACAAAAAATATCATGGTTGTAATACAATTTACCGTTTTGAAACACTAATATTTGTGTTCAACGAAGTCTCCCAAGTAAAACAGTACCCCCATGTACAGGTTTTATAGTGTCTTGGAAAGTTACAGGGTTAAATATAGTGCTTGCGAATTATATTCTCTGCTCTTTCTGCCTGGGTTGTCAGGCATGTCAATCAAATTTTAATTAATAAAATCACATAATTATGCTAAAAGATTACTTAAATATACACATAGAATTTTAATATATATATACATATGTATTTAAATTCTACGTGTATACTTATGTAATCATTAATGTAATTTTATATATTTATCTATCTATCTATATATATATATATATATATATATAAATATATATAAATATAT